ATCACTTCGATATTGTATTCTTCCATTTAAATCAAATACAATGTTTTTTTTATCTCATTAATTTATCCGACGATAATATTAACAAGTTGGTATTAAATTTTTTTGTTATGAAGCACACATTTTTTAATGTTTACCTAATAGATAACAAATAAAAGTTAAATTTTTTTTTAGCCCAACCATTGTTAAAATTTTTAACAAGCCCGCTCTCATTTTTAAAAATTAGCTAGCCCGCTCAATTAAATGGATGGGCATGGCCTCAAAACTAGCTCATTTCAGTAAAAAAATTTAAAAATAACGATTATGTCATCACTTTTCTATGGTACATCCTAATTTAAATTTTAATTAAACATGTTTACAATTTATTATTTTACCCTGCTTCAAAAAGTTCAAAAATAACGATTTTGACAATTTTCACTTTTCTATGGTACTACATATTCACTGAAATTTTAATTTAACATGTTTACAATATATATTTTTACCTATTTGTCTTAAAAAAAATTAAAAAAGAATAAAAATAACGATTATGACAATTGTCACTTTTCTATGGCACATCTTCCCTGAAATTTTAATTTAACTTGTTTATAATATATATTTTTACCTTATTTTCTTTGAAAAATTTTAAAAAAAATCAAAAATAAGATTATGAAAATTGTCACTTTTCTATGGTACATCTTCACTGAAATTTTAATTTAATATGTTTGCCAAACATATTTTTACCTATTTACTTTAAAAAAACTCAAAAAGTTCAAAAATAACAATTATGACAATTGTCACTTTTCTATGGTACATCTTCACTGAAATTTTATTTACAATAAATATTTTTACCTATTTGGTTTAATAAGATTCTAACAAGTTCAAAGATAACGATTGTGACAATCACTTTTCTATGGTGCATCCTAATTTTTTATTTTAATTTAACAAGTATTTTTGCCCATTTGATCCAAAAAAATTAAGAAAAACAAAAAAATTATTACAAATAACGAATATGAGATTTGTGACTTTTCTATGTTTATCTTCTCTGATATCTCAAGTAGTCGGAAGAAGTAGACTAATTAACAACTCTAATCCCGACTATACAGTGGTCAGGTTCGGTTCGGCTCATAAATTTGATTTAGTCGATTAAGCAAGTAGACTAAATGGGTCGACTAAATAGATCCACTTTAGTTGAAGACTAATTTACGCGCTAAAGTTTTTAGTCAATTTCATAGTCATAGTCGAAAAACTCGACTAGTTAACAACACTAGAGCAAAATATAAAATATTGCTAAAAATTTTAATTTCAAAAATCGGAAATGACCGTAATTAAATCGGCATTTTTTTCTCATAATAAGAATACTTATATTAAAAATAGATATGCAAATTTTTAAGTCGAGCCGCACAAGTATGGAAGATATGGGACTTTAATTATTATTCAATTCGAATTTTATTTGATATTTTAAAAAAGTAATTAAAGATCTGAATAATTTTGGAAGGATCTTTGGTTAATTCATTTATGAAGTAAAATTTCTCTCTTAATAAAAATAACTACAAAATACAAATCATAGAAAAAAAATGACAAAGAAGATTTAATAAAAGACTAAGTATGGCAAAAGTGCATATGTTTCAGAGATCTCTGATTTATTTCTAGAAGATTATAGGTATCATTGTTTGATGAAGAGGAAATGAAATACTTGAAATTGAAAACTACATGTGAGTAGCGTCTACATGAGCGGGAGGGGTAGGAACAGTTTGCATCCTATTTTTTGAGGTGAGTAGGGGTTAGGCTGCTTTAATGAGGATAGGATAAATTTTTGAAGGGTTATCTATTAAATTTTGAGATGAAATAGGACAAAATTTATTGCTGTAAAAATTAATACTTTTATTATAGAATTATTATAATACAATTCATCGACCAAATCTATATATTGCAAACAATCATACACATTGTTTTCCAAATAAAACTTTCTGCTATCCTTTTAAATGTAATTTAAAAGGTTTAGATATTTCAGCCATAATAATTAATTCATTGTAAATAATGGAGGTTTTAATTGAATTTATTATCTAAAAAATAAATTCTTTATATTCACAAAATATCGATAGTTGGTAGTAGAAATAGATTAATTTAAGTTATCCTTTATAAATTCTCTAAAATAAATTAAAAAGGTAGAAATAATAATCGGGAGACACCGCCGCCGAAGTTGGTGTAAATATTTTAGGGGGCGGGGGGGGGGGGTAGGCAAAGGTTTTTGAAGGGGGTTTGCATCCAGCGAAAATCCTGTCATGTAGACGCTGCATGTGAGAATGCATATATGGCAAGACCGAATTATATGGTTACTGTAAATAAAATTGCCTATACAAAAATAAATTTAAGAATAAGAGACAACTTTATTAATTGGAAATGTTATTAAAGAACAATATAAAGACTTAAATAACTCAAGAATTTTTATTATAGATTTTTTGAAAAATTAAAATTGTGATCTAAGATAAATATATAGGATCAAGATATTATTTTCCCTTCAAGAATGATGGGAAATTAGAATTTTCTACTTTATTTGACGATGGCCATTATGTACCAAATCGCATCAAAATAAAGGTACATTTCTGATTCATTCATTAAGGAGAAATATCCAAATCGCCCGTCATTATGGGGGGGGGGACTAGCTGCTAGTAGATTTATAATGAATATTTGTGTTAATGAAATTTATATATAATATATATTATTCAAAACACATACACAAACTAGATGCAATATTTATAGTATAATTACGAAATGAGATTATATTAAATAATGATTAATTATCAGTTATATATATTTTCTAATTCAAAAAAATAAATTATATACGTATATTTTATACGCGAACTTTGGGACATTTTGACATAATACTTAATTCATGTTATATGGCTCTGGAAGAACTATCAAAATTCTTAAAGAGTAAAGTTACATCTTATGTAACCCTTAAACAATTTCCAAATATTGAAACCTTGAAAATAAAGATTATTCTTTAAATATTTTCAAAAAATTCCCCCAATTAAAATTTTATTTAATAAATATAATACAACCTTCTCATCCTCTGCGCCAGTTGAACGTGCTTAGCACAGCAAGCTGTATTAATCACTAAGCGTTCTTGTTTATTTGATCAAAATTTTGAAAATCAATTGTTAAAAATAAATAAAAAATTAATACAAAAAGAACTTATCGATAAAAACCTAGATAAGTTATTAGGGAATGCCCATTTAGGAAGTTCTCGTAACTGTAATAAACTCATACTAAGGGTGTGGGGGGGGCAGGACAGCTCGATCTTAGTTTTTTTATGAAACATGTATATTAAGTTGTATAATGCCATCCGAGTTTTTTTTGTAGCTATCGAGTTCATATTTTAGTCATCGAAGATTCCACCCTGCTCAGTTTTTTTAAATATTCAACTTCGAAACACCCCCCCCCCCCCGTCTGAGAAATCTTATAGAAACCCCCGACAACTCCTAGAAGGCGCATTATGCGAGAAGGAGTGTTGTGCTTCAAATTTTTTTGTATTATTACTTCTTTTATAGAAAAAGAAGCAAGGCGTTCTATTTTTCAATATTTTTATTAAACTTTTATAAGTCATCGCTTTGCTTTATTTAAAGTATAAAGTAAGTTTCACCACCAACAAGGTTTTTAAATAGCTCCATTGTTAAAAGGTTTTGAGCTAACTCTAAAAGGCTAAACAAAATTTTTAAACAAAAAACTATCATCTTAGCCATGAAAAAAATATACTCTTGTCGCAAAGCTTAGCAATTTTTTCGATTTTAATATGGCTGATTTAATGACACTACAGGCAATAAATAGTCCAATTTTATCAAAAAAATTTAAATGTTTAAATAGAACTTGAAAATTTCAAATAGGTAAGGATCTTGTAATTTACTAATAGAAATGATAAATTGGGATATTTTTTATCAGGTTCTTCGGTGTCCTTTTGCCAATTAACCATTTTTATTAAAATTGATGGATGGTAAAAATATATTAAGGACATGTTAACAATAATAAAATATTATGTAGGCAGCGTCTACATAACAGTAAATTCATTGGAAACCCATTCCAAAATCTACCCCTACCCAAATTTTTGCAGTTTTCGGTCACGATATTTACTAGCCCATTATGCTATACTCAATCATCATTTTATTCATCTTGATTTAACGTTTGAATCTATATCATTATTAATTCATATTTTAGCCTCAGCCACCCAATCTCATGGTTCCCACGACACCCTTGTACTTTGTTTATCGCATGCCATAAATGATATTACTTAATTCGAAGCCAAGTATTGCTCCGTGGTATAGCCCCAGCCAAGCCTTGCTAAAACCACCGATTCACATTGATTTTCGAGAATGATGAATAACATAATTCAAATCAACAGACTGCACCTTACTAAAAACCCCTAATTCCCAACCATGATCTTAGATTCTTATATATTGTTAAACCACTATTAAAACCGATTCCCCATTACTTTACCCCCGAAAATCCCTATTGATTGATCGATATTGAAATCGCCCCCACCTCGTCGTTCGGGGAGCCCGCTAATTTGGTCCCGAATAAATTAACGAGTAATTGCAATACGTTCCTTTTTTCAAACGTAACAAGTTTCTTTTTGAAGTAACGCTTACAGCTAAAATAACAATATAATCAATTAAATAGTGAGTGCCGTTTAAAACTTCAATTTAGGCGTTTATAAAAAAACGAATAAATGAACATTTAAGTCAAATATTACCTAAGCCACGATTTCGCATATAAACGCTTGATCCTCTTTTAGCTAAATCTCAAGTCTTAGGTAATATTTTTTGGAGAAAATATTAATTTAACCATATTTTAAATGCAAATAAATCGAGGATTTCAATAATACTATACATAATATGAGAAGAATCATATTTAATTAATTTTTATTTATTAAACATTAAATAAGTAAAATAGGTATAGAATAACATTAAATAAATTTTATAAAAAAATTCCATTTTTTATTAAATAATTTTTATATAAATAATGGTATTCCATTGCAGCAAACATGGCGCAACTAAAAAAAGGATCAATAAATAAGAGTAGACTATAATCAACTAATCATTTAATTAAAATCCTCATGATTACGACAGATTTATTTTTTTGAAGGCTGAACCGTGTCCAAGAACTTTTTTCTCCCGAGGTCATCCTTGGTTAAAAGGATATTTAGATCTTGATCCCATCCCAAATGCTTTATCAATTCCCGACATCCATCATCGCAAGTTCCCTTCCAAAATATATCTCTATTGCCATTTAAAAAAAATGATTAAGTAATATTTTGGAAATATAGTGTTTCACATAATTCAAATCTAGTTATTATTATATATAGGCATTACTTTCTTTTTTTTTAAATTTCTAAGAAAGGCCTCATTTATAGTAACAACATGATGGCAGCAATACGTTAAATATAAATATCACAGCTGTATTATTTACTTAATTTTGTGTAATATACGTTTTAACGGAGAGTAATGTCACGCCTACTTTAAATGACAATTATACTGTTACATTTAAATTTAATATCTATAAAAATATTTGTTTAAAAAAAATTGAAAACAAAATGTTATTTTCAAATTATTGTATAAACAAAAGATATATTAAACCTGGCATTTTTGTGATGAATATCGAAGTCCATTCCTTTAGATAATCCCAAAAATTGGGTTATGGAAAATACATGATCCGGCCTTTCTTTATTAATTAGTAATCTAGGAGTATTGCGAGAGACACTAAAGAATATTCGGAATAAATATATAAATAAATGTATTAAAGATTCTAGATATTTTGATTATTTTTCTTCTATTTATGTGATTAAATCATTTCAAGTGTGGATGAATGCCTATTAAATAGATAGTTTAAATATTGTAAGTTAATTTATAACTATAGTAAAATTAAAATATAATTAATATTATTATGAATTCAGTAAAATAAAAAATGATTTTACTAATCGATTAAAGAGGCGAAGGGTTGAACTACAAGAGAAGTGCCCATGATTATAAGTAAATCACATAAAGGAAAATCGTGCCTAACACAGCTAAAAAATTTTGCAGGCAGAGATTCGCCAAAAAATACTATATCCGGTTTAACCACGCCGTTCAAACCAGGAGCTGTTGTACAAGTCTCACATTTAGGTACTATACTCTTTTTTTGATAAAATGAATATATTAATATTTAAAGCATTTTTATAAATTAAATTTTTATCCATTTCTATCTGAGTAGCTTTCACTGCTTTAAAGCTCAATAACAATTTAAATTCCTGCCTTTCTAATCTATATATACTTTTATCCTATTATTAATTTGCACGAACTTTTGAAATGATGTAATTTGAAAAAAAGATTTTATTCGTCAATACTTGCGAATCCTTGAACTCAAGTCAACAAAATTTAGCAGAGACATTAATAAACTTAAAGCACAATTACTTATATCTTCCTTGAATATAAACGGTCTACGAGATAAACTTGCTATTTTATTGAAACTTATGACAGATGAGAAAATGGACATTATTGCTTTACATGAAAACCCATAGTCAGGGAAACAATCTATCTTATTGATATGTCAAATATTGATTTATTATTATAGAATCATATGCTCCAATGTTAAAATATTCAAATAATAATTCATCTTATGGGCGATTGTGTTAGCTGTTTTTAAAAATTGACTCAAATCAAGCCGTTTAAAAACACTAGTTGGATCTTAGGACTAATTGAAATGAGATTAATATGCAATTTGAAGAAAATTTGATTGTGGCAAGATTGAAAGAATTTAAATGTAGATGTAAACTTGTGCATAAGAATTTATATGATAGTATAAATTGTGGTTTAGATTCTTTTAATGATCTTAGATAAACTGACCTTAATGTATGCTGAAAAATCAAGATCCAGGTTATCATGTATTTATTTTGATGTATTCCAGGTTATCACTTATTTTTCATGTATATTATTTTGATGTATTCCAGGTTATCATTACTTATTTTCATATTTATGCTTTATTTTCATGTATATATTTTCATATTTATGCTTTTAATGGAAACTTGTGTGAAAGATATTCAATTTACATAAGATATATCATTATCATTTTGTGCTTATGCATTAAACCTTTGTACTAGAAATTATCTCATTTGCATTAGGTTTTTGAGACTAGTTTTGTCTGCATCCCCTTAAACCTAAACACTCTATAGGACCTTAAATCTTAGCATATAATTGTAATAATGTATGATATATATTTAGGATTAGTTTACCATGCATTTGATTATTTCTAGTCATTTTTGTTTAGACATTATATCTTTAAACCTGAATTTATCTATTCTCTTGTCCCTTTCACCCTCCTTAAAATACTTCATTTTTTTAAATCCCCCTTTTACCAAGATGCTTATTAAAAATATTACTATCCCCCTTATTTTATTTTTGCTATCATCTTACTAATTTATATCCCCCTTATTTTAATTTTTGCTACCATTTTAATAATTTAAATCAGGCCCTCCATCTTTTTTTTATTACTAAATTTACATTATTTTCTTTATTTTATTATAGCTACCATTTTGATATTATTTTTGCTATCATTTTGATGAATTTCCGGTCAATATTGTAAATATCAATCATTTTATAATAATAAATAAACAAAAATCTCTTTGCATAGAGCAACTTTCTTTAATTTATTCTTAGTTTAATTTAATATTAAATACAGGGTTGCCACGTCTCCCCTTATCAGAGGGAAACTCCCGCAAAACTACCGCAATTAGAAATTCCCAGCAAAAATCTACCGCAATTTTTAATTTTCTCCTGCAATTTTCAAATTTCTCCCGCAATTTCCTTTTTTTTTTTAGTATTTTAACATTTTTAATATATAAATAATAATTTTGAGAGATATTAAATGATTATTTTTAAATTTTTAAAATAAATTTTAAATATTTATTCGAAAAACATGTCTAGTTTGTAAATTTCTTTCTATCCTGTTTTATTTTTATCCAATAATAAATCAACATCATTTCATTCATATAAGTCAGTACAGGGGAGTATATCAACATCTATTGCAATACAAAAATATTCTCAAATAATAAATAATACAGATGCAACTACATTTGTGGAAATCATATACATCTATCATGTAGTTCAACATTCACAGAGCTATATCATCACAATGTGGGTCATATCTTTTTCTCATGATATTTAACGACTCCAAAATAAGTGCAAACCTTACTTGTGGCAGATTAGCAAGGCTATCACAAGTGTTTTAGTACCTGAATCCTAGAGGTCAATTCTAGATGATTTGAAAGATGGGCATCCATATGCAATTCATACAGATGCATCTAATAAGGGAAATATTAAAACTTTTCCCTCGATCCTTCGCTATTTCAACAAGAATAAGAACATTTCAATACAACTGTTAAAATTTTTTTCTCGGATAGTGAAAAATCCAACAATGTAGCTAGCCACATAATGGTAAATATAAATGATTTGCATGTCAGCTTTCTGCGCTGATAATGCATCTGTAAATTTTGGCAAAAACCAAAGTTACCGAATTGAGGCAGCACAATAATGAATTAATACCAATTGGCTGTATATGCCATATACTACATAATACTTGCAAGAAGGCAATAAATGTACTATCTGTGGTCGAAATAATTGTGAAGAAATGTTTTAACGAATTTAGTTCATCAACTAAAAGAGTTAATGAATTTAAAGAGTTGGTGAAGCGGTCTGACTTGAAATAATGTGAGTTGTTGCGATATATACCTATCAGGTGGTTGTCATTAATACCTGCCATCGATAGAATTTTAAAATTTTACAAACCCTTAAAAAAACACTTCTTATAAAGATTTTAAAAGCTGTCCTAAATTTGGAAAAATTTTTAGATATGAAATGGCAGAAGCATATTTGGGATTCGGTTCACATCAATGTTGTTAAACGCTACTTTTAAAAGTAGCGCTCTATTAGCTACTTTTTACGCTATTTTGATTTTTTTTACATAACTTTATTCCCACAAATACAATATTGGTATAAAAACATGACTATAATTTGACACATATATATATATATATAATTTATTTAATATTGCACTTTATAATAAAACATTTTGTACTGTCATCCCCAAGTCTAGAGCGACGATAGAAAGTATAAGCTTTGCCATACTAAATAATCGTTCAGCATAGAGGGCAACGCAGTATTTAATTTAATAAACACACTTTTTATATGAAAAAAATCATCAAAGATATTTAAATGAGTATTTTTAGATTTAAAAAAATAATCTAGAGGTTCAATAATATTATTATTAGTTATTTTAAAAAAATCGTCTATGGAAGGCCGCGGTTTCGATCTTGCTATAGTATTAGTATCGTGGTTAGGCATGGCATTTTTTAATGTTACCATCAGCCTATCAAGTTGCCATTTAGATTCAGTCAAATTAATGTATAGCCAATTTAACTTGAAACTAATAGCAGCTATTACATTATCATCATCATACAGATCTGGAAATCTAATTTATATAAAGCGATTGTATTAATTATAAAATAAGAAAAATACCTATTTAATTTTCAAAATTTAAATTTATTTATAAAAAAATATTAAAATAGCATTAAATTATGAAATAAAGATTTAAAAAATATAATTATTATACACAAGGTAATTAATAATATATTAATTTTGTATTAATATTATAGATTGAGTTGTAAATTAAGCCAATTTAAATTATGGCTAATCAAGCAATAAATCATTCATTTTATATAACTGTATAATAGAAAATAAAAATAAAGTTTTGACCTTTTCTTAATGCCTTTTAGCATAGAGTCTACCAGTGGTTGGCAAAATTTTGCATCGAAACCGATATCCAGTAGTAATTTTTTCTTCAAGATTAAAGTATTTTTTGAATTTTAAGAAAGGATAATCTATATTTTTCTCATTTTCTAAAGAAATTTCACTATCTTCAACAATCTCACACATTTTTAATAACTAGATTTATAATGCTAACTAGATTTATAATGTATATTTTTAAATATAAATTTCAAAATAAAATAAAATAAAATGATTATAATTTTTGATTTAATAAAAAATATATTTTAATAATTTTTAGATGTATTTATTATGTAAAATTGAAAGTAGCGAAGTAGCGAGCTACCGCTATCGCTATTTTCTAAAAAAAGTAGCCAGCTAAAGCTACCGCTACTGAAAAAAGTAGCGCGCTATTTTAACAACACTGATTCACATGTAGGAAATCTACTTCATGCAGTTAATATTCAGTTGCAATCAGAATATTATTTATTAAAAAAGATTCATAAAATCATGCTACAGCTCTGTTCATCTCTACAGTTAAAAATTGATAATAAATTTTATGGCGCTTTAGCTAAAAATATTATATTAAAATGTTCAAATGATACTCTAATTAATACATTTTTAAATGAAGCAGATATTTTTATTATGACAATTTTAAAATATTTACAATCAAAATTTGATTTTAATAACTATTTACAAATGTATAAATAGACCTTACCTTGGAACAGAAACCATCAATTGATGGTTTTTATAATTTGATAAATATATTAAAAATACCGAAAGACATTGATGTATTGTTTGAGGAGATTGTAATTCTCTCTATTTTTTATTTGTTTGAGGAGATTGTAATTCTCTCTATTTTTTATGATTCGCCAAAATACTTAAAGTTAGATGGTCTAAAATCAGAGGAGAAATGGGTAGAATTTTTTCGTAATAAGGATAAATCCCCATGCTTAGAAAAAATATGCGAGTATGTCTTCTCCTTATCTCATTATAATGCCTCATCCGAGCGCATTTTTGGCCTAATGAGGACTGCCTGGAAAAAGGAGAGAAATCGGATTGCTTTAACAACATTAGAGGCCGAGCAAATATATAATATGCCATGCCAGGAATTTTATAAATATCTCAATAACGACGGTAAACAGTTTTATTATTTAAGTCTCAAATAAAATATAATTAAGTTTTAGCAATGGCGCCATAAAATTTATTGTTAATTATTAACTGTAAAGATGAACACATCTGAGCATAATTTTGTGAATCTTTGTTAAGATTCTTCTGATTGCAACTACACATTAACAGCATGTAGTAGATTTCTTACATGTAAAATCATTCCTAAATATATCTCTGTCATTCATTATTGGAAAAATTTTTCAAAAT